GTTTTGTTTTTAAAAAACAACAACAGTGTGGCCAGCACATGAGGAACAACAAAGAAGGCTGACCTCTGACCTCCACGTGTACATGTGTACAACCTGTACACACATGCACTGCACACACACGCAACAATGTTCTTCATCTAGAACACATGCTTATACATGTTGATGCTCAGCCTTTTGAGAATTTAAGGAAGCTATGGACTTCCGTCTTAAGGAAATGCTGTGTGTGTATAGCCATGTATAGCACACATGGCTATACAAACAAAGACATGTGTATGCTCAGTAGGATCTGCAAATTATGTGGCATCCATTCATGTTCCCCCAGGTCCTCGTGAAGAACCCTCTCTGAAAGAAGAGTGTGGAAGCTGGACGTGACCTTGTTTCACACACCAGTGGGTTTCCAAGGCCACACCCCAACAGATCCCAGCCTTAGTCAAGCCTCTGGACTCACTGCCCCGCTGAGAGGGGGGCCTTGTTCATCAGTCAACATCACAGACCAGGAGGGGGTTGGGCCTCTGGAATTACATAGTGGGGAGAAGGCTGACCCCAGAGGGGCCTAGAGAGATGGGGACACTGAAAGTTCCTCAAATTCAGCTGCTGGCACCTCCATGTCCAGCATCGGGGCGGTCAAGTATACAGTCACACACAAATACAGACTGTGTCAGTCATGCGGTGACCTCACAAGCTTTGCTCACTCACTCTCAGGGACAGTAGATAAAGACTCCAACCTCATGGCCCCTCGGCTCCACCCCTTTCTCTATACAGCCAGCATCAGGCTGGCCAGGGGCTGCCATGTGGGCAGCTGTGTCCCTTGGATCTCATTGACAGGCTTGGGCTGACCTGAGTGGCTTCAGAGGATTCATTTGGAGTGTCTGGAAAGACCTCAAAAGTCGCTCGCCCAAAATAATCCTCCCAAAAGTTCTGCCAAAGAATCTCCCTGCTCTCATTTTTCCTCAGGGAATGACCTGGAAGACTCCAGAAGACAGGCTAGTGTAATCCAGGCAGCTTACTAGCCATGTCTGCCTCAGCAGCCAGGCAGGGGCTGCTTATCCAGAGGTAATCGAATATGGATCAGATTTATAGAAGACTTGGAAAAGGTCAGGCCAAGAGTCATACAAATCCAACCCCATCAATTACAACTCTTGTCCTTTGCCAATTTTCAATGGGGTCTTTCAAGAAGAAGTCACCAGGAGCCTGGACTTCCAATTCCCTACAGATCCGTACACCATGCCCTGGCCCCCATCTTCTCAGGCCACTGAGAGGCACTGACAGACTCGGAAGAAGGTCTTCATCAGGTCACCTTCTTACAGAATCTCCAGACCCCACGGCTGTGTTGTGGGGTCTTGAGTAGGCAGGGGAAGTGAAGCATGTAGGTCAATCCTGCTGTCTCAGCTCTCTGTCAAGCTCTGTCTGGCCTCTACCCCAGAGGCCCGGCTCCCTTGGGCCTGTTCCCCTCCACAGGCCTCCATTCTCAACACACTCTTCACAGCTGAAGTAGGTAAGTTACATCCATAGTGCTACAGTTAAATTATCTGACATAGACTAAGAAAGATTACTTTGGGCTTATAATTTTTTACATTTATATTCATTCATTCATTCATTCAATTATTCATTTATTTTAGGGTGTTTAAAGCATACATGCCTCAGGTCTGAGGACTACTCTTGTAAGCTGGCCCTATCCCTCCACTGTGTGTGTCCCAGGGACTGAACTAGGCCATCAAGTTAGACTGTAAGTGCCTTTACCCACCAAGTCATCTCACTGGCCCTGCTCATGATTTGGAAGGGTTTTATCCACCATGGCAGGGAAGGCATAAAAAAGTTTGTGCCAGTGGCCCCAGGTGACTAATTTTTGCCAGCTAGACCCCACCTCCTGAAGGTACCACAGCCTCCCCAAATCTCACAGTGCCAGGAGAACAAGTGTGCAGAACATGAGTCTGAGAGAGAGATTTCAGATTCGAAACATCCTACCCCCCAGGTTTACACTGAAGCACGCCATCTTTCTACTATCCTTTCACAAAGTTCATACATACTATCCTACGTATTTCACATCCTCTCCGACTATGAGGAAATGAAGGGCTGATACGTCCTATGGAAAGCATCGTGACGTCCTGGAGGAAATGGAGCCCACCCCATGGAACAGTAGGAAGGACTGTTGTCAATCAATAGGAAGGCCTGTGCTCCCAGTTCTGGGAAGGCCTATCCTGCTATGGTCAGCCTCTCCCAAAAAGCAGCCAAGTGAAGGCTGGGGATGCCATGTGATCCATGTAAATAGTTCAGTTGTCACAAAACCAACATTATCAGGACTGGGGATGTAGCTCAGTTGGTAGAGTACCTGCTCAGCATGCATAAAACCTCAGGTTCATAATGACACTCGCCTATAATCCCAACTCTTAAGACGTAGAAACAAGAGTATCAGAAGCCCAAGGGCATTCTTGGCTACTGTACCAAGCTCAAAGCCAGTCTGAGCTCCAAGAGACCTTGTCTCAAGAGAACAACAACAAAACCCATGACATCACTAAGCAGCAGAGACCCTGGAGAGGTGTGCTGCCCCCTCCCTGCCTCATTTCTGCTTTATGGATTTTGAACTTTCCTATGGCAGATCTAAGTATGGCCGGGAGTCAGTTCTTGCATGCTAGCAGCGAGCAAAAACATCTTCCTTAGATGAGGAGCTGTTCCGAGCCCCACCACAAAAGCCAGAGAGAGTCCTTCCTGGGCTCTGCTGCATCTACAGACTGGGCTGCAATTGTGTTTCTTGCTGGGCCTCTGTGGCCAGTGACACATGACCTGAGCTTGTACTCAGTCCGCAGACTTGGTGAGGCAGCCCCCTTCCTTACAAATGGCTGCCTCACAGTCTTGTCTGTGGATCGCTGGCTGAGCCAGGTTGTCACTTTCCGGAAATGGAATCTGTTCTTGATGGTTAGCATTCTGGGTGCAGGCCTGTCTCACCGGCTGTTTTGCTTCGCCCGGTTGGCGGAGGGCTTTTTGAGCCTGGTTGTTGTCTCCCATGGGGGCAGTCCTCTGTCCCTACTATTTATTTCTTTTCCCTGTCGCCATCACATCTAAAAACTGTTCTTGTAGCCAAGAGCGTCTGCTGTGCTGAATGCAAATGTTTTCAAATCCAACTGTCCCCTGGCAGTCTCTTGAATTTTCCTTCATCATTTTTCAACAGCCCATGGTAACAAATTGAAGCTGAATAAACCCTTTATTTCCAAGAAGGAAGAACAACTGCAGCGGCAATGCCAGCGCTAACGGGCGCGGCGCCATCTGCCGGGGCCCCCTCTGAGACGGGAGCTCTGCTGGCAGCCAGAGCAGCTTTGTTTCCAAATGGTCTGCCTGCTGGGCATCTCAAGAGACTCTAGCATCTGCTTCCACCCTGCCTCCAAGAACTGTGTCAGCCACCAGCCTCTTGCAGAGTCTGAGAAGAGAGTCTGTGGAACTTTGAACTCACCCCACATCCACAAAGTTGGGCTGCTTCAACAGTACATGTGAACAGAAACCAATAGGGCAAAACAGAAAACTCTGCATTGCCCCATGGCTCACATCTAAAAACGCAGGAGACAGATGATGACACAGGAGCTGGAAGCTGTGACACACACCTCTGCTGCAGCAACAGGCCAAGCACCAGGATGGACTGAACAACACCTTTTCTCCTTGGAGAAGTGGCTGATGGCAGGGATGGTCTAGGGCATGCAAGATGAGACTGGAGCATCTTCCGTTGAGAGAAGGATGCTGTGGGATGTTCTGTATGGCAAATGTGTTGCTGATTAGTCAATAAATAAAACACTGATTGGCCATTGGCTAGGCAGGAAGTGTAGGCGGGACAAGGAGGAGAATAAAGCTGGGAAGTGGAAGGCTGAGTCAGAGAGACACTGCCAGCCGCCACGATGAGAAACAGCATGTGAAGATGCCGGTAAGCCACAAGCCACGTGGCAAGGTATAGATTAATGGAAATGGATTAATTTAAGCTATAAGAACAGTTAGCAAGAAGCCTGCCATGGCCATACAGTTTGTAACCAATATAAGTCTCTGTGTTTACTTGGTCGGGTCTGAGTGGGACTGGCAGGTGAGAGAGATTTGTCCTGACTGTGGGCCAGGCAAAAAAACTTTAGCTACAGAAGGAAGTACTCAAAGGACAATGGAGATACATCACAGGACCAAGGGAAGCCGGTGTGGGTGGCTCTTACAGGCCACATCTGGGACAAGCTGAACGTTGGAACTAAAGGTGATAGTAATGATAGTAACTCATTAAATGAAGTAGTAGTTTTTGATGCCATGCTCATAATAAATAGATTGCTATTCAGGTAACGACCTAGTATGGATAGAAGTAACTCTTCTATGCTGTACAATACCAGCTAACAAGAGCTGGGGAGCAGGTTAAGTCCCATGCAAACATAAGTATGTTAGTGTGGGTCCCCATGTACAAAAGCTGGGCTTGCTGACCCACACATGGAATCCCAGTGCTGCAGAGGCAGAGACAGGAAGATCCTTGGACCTGGCTGACTAGTTAGTCTTGACAAATCCATGAGCTCCAGGTCCAGTAAGAGACCCTGCCTCAAAAAAAAAAGCTAGAGAGCAGGGTGTGGTGGCACACGCTTTTGATCCCAGGACTCGAGAGGCAGAGGCAGGAGGATCTCTGTGAATTCGAGGCCAGCCTGGTCTACAAAGTGAGTTCCAGGACAGCCAGGACTGTTACAAAGAGAAACCCTGCCTCAAAAAACAACAAACAAACAAACAAAAAAGATAAAATAAGATCTTTCTATACGTTCTTTCTTCTCCAAGTTGCTTTTGGTCAGGGTATTTATCACAACAACAGAAAACAAACCAGATCACTCATGCTAAGATGTTGGAGTCAGAAACAATGTCACCTCCATGACACTGATAACCAAGTCTCTCCTAGGCTGCTTCTGACCATGAGGATGCATCAAGCATAAGTGATTTGAGAAGCACTCTAAGAACACTGGCCTGAGACCTTTAAAATTTGTCAGTGTCAGGAATGGAAAAAAAAAAAAAGTAAGGAGAAGGGAGGAAGGGAGGGGAAGGGAGAGAGAAAGAAGGAAGGGAGAGGACCTCTCTTGTGTGAAATTATTTTTGAATATCTGCCTATGAGGCAAGGTGGGTCCATTGACGTAATCATGGCACAAAGGCAACCAATAGCTCTTGGTTTGGATTTAGGGCCTGCTCCCCGGGGGGATTCATGGCCGCTACTGCAAGCCTGGTCAAGTCTGTGGTTCAAGAGATCGCTGGCCCTGGGGGTGTGTCGGTGGGGGACACTGACTACCATTGGTCTGCTAAATGGACTTGTTGTCAAACCATCTTCTAAATATTTCTGTTTATAACCACAGGTCAGCGCTGCCTCAACCTTGGCCAAAGAAACTTCTCTCTGCCGTGGGCAGCAGTTCATACAGAGACTCATAATTGGTTCAAGTGAGACCCTGGCTCCAAAAATCTTCTTTAGGAAAAAAAAAAAAAAGCCTGAGAAGCAAAAAAGACATTAAATAGATTCAGTGTAGGATGGGAATGTAAAACGGTGCCGGCACTCTGGAGAAGAGTTCATGGCTTCCTAAAACCTTTGGCATGTGCTGACCATGTGACCCAGCATCCTGGAGGAAAGAACACTCACTCACACAGAGAACTGAACTTGAACGTCCCTTTATTGGTAATGGCACCAAACCAGAATCATCCAGAACACCCTTCCTCCAGTGGATGACTACACCGTGGCACAGCCCCCCATGCGGCACACTCTGCGTGGAGGAGGATGAGTGCCCAGGATACGATGCTGAGTGGGAAAAGCCAGCCTCACGTGCTGAGCGGTTCCATTTATGCAGCACTCTGGAAATGGCAAAATCACAGACAAGGAAGAAATGAGTGGTTGCCAGACACTGTGGAAGGAGGGAGGGAGAGCGGTGGCTGTGACCGTAAAAGGCAACACGAGAGACCCTCGGTACGGGACACGTCTAATCTCCACTGGAGGGAGAGGCACACACCTACACATGTGATAAAATAGCACAACACATGGACCCAGTACGACCTGAAGAGGCAGACCTGGGTGTGACACCCTTGTCACTGTCCTGGTCTCAATCAAGTGCTGTAGTTATGCATGGGGCTGAAGCTGGGAACCTGGGGAGAACATGCAGGTTTCTGTATGTTTCTTTGCCGTGTCCTGTGAATCTACTCCAAAAACTTCAAACAGAAAACAAGTCCAGGACAGAACCTGTGTGCGCTTCCAGCTCTGCCTGCCTAGAGCCTGGCACGCCTTTCCTGACTTGTTTGGTACCCCAGAAAGTCTCCATGAAGTCTCAGTCCCGCTCTTTGGGAACTTTATCGGCAGGGAACAGATGGCATAAAGAGGTATAAGAGCAGACACAGAAATCCTGGGGTTGCCTCTAAGGGGGTCAATTCTAAATGCTGGACTCTCCATTGGTTTAAAAAACCCAGTCTCATTTACCGCTAATGAAGTCTCAGGTAAGATTCATATGTGTCTCCATTTTTTTGTCTGTAGGATAGGTTCGGTGATAGTATTCAGGTCAAAGGATCTCTGTGTAGCTTAGTCCCTAGAGAGATAATATTATTAATATTAATAATTAGTTATTATCTACAATAATAGTAAAAATCAATGACCTACTACCATAGCTCTCTGATCTCTCTCAGATGTTAGCATGCCCACTTAAAATTTCATTACGTTTTCAGCCAGGCGGTGGTGGCGCACGCCTTTAATCCCAGCACTCGGGAGGCAGAGCCAGGCGGATCTCTGTGAATTCGAGGCCAGCCTGGGCTACCAAGTGAGTTCCAGGAGAGGCGCAAAGCTACACAGAGAAACCCTGTCTCGAAAAACCAAAAAAAAAAAAAAAAATTTCATTACTTTTTTTTAAAGTAACATTCTTTTAAGAACATTTTCTTATGCATATGTGTGTTTTGTCTGCATGTCAGTGCACTATGTGTGTTCAGTGCCTCGTGGAGGCCAGAAGAGGTCACTGGATCCCCTGGAACTGGAGTTAGAGTTGTGGGTCCTGGGAATCGAACCCATGTCTTCTGGAAGAGCAGCCAGTGCTCTTTACTGCTGAGACATCTCTCTAGTCCCAAATTGTATTAAATTTCTTTCTTCCTTTCTTCCTTTCTTTCTTTCTGATTTGTTTGTTTATTCATTTTAGGTACACTGGGGTTTTGCCTGCATGTATGTCTGTGCCTGATCCCCTAGAACTGGAGTTACAGACAGTGGTGAGCTGCCATGTGGGTGCTGGGAATTGAACCCGGGTCCTTTGGAAGAGCAGTCAGTGCTCTTAACCACTGAGCCATCTCTCCAGCCCCTAAATTTATTTCTGTATGTGCACGTGTACCTGTGTGGGTGCACACACTACAGCACACACGCAGAGGTCGAAAGACAACTTGCAGGATAGGAGTTGGTTCTCTCCTTCCGTCGTGCGGGTCCCAGGGATTGAACTCAGGCTGTCAGTCCCCAGGACAAGCAACTTCACTCACTGAACATCTCACTGGCCTTGTCATTCCTATTTTACAACGAAGCTGACAAGTCAGTAGAACTGATTAGTGTGGTTTACCTAATGATAGGAGGAAAACAAAAACACAGACAGGCTTTTTCCAAACGGGTGGAAAAATTTTAGAGTGGAAATCAGAAAAAGGATAATGTAAGGAAAAATCCAGAGAACAGGAATAAAGAATAGACTGTAGTCCCAGAAAATAGTTTGTGAAAGAACACCTTAATTGTATTAAACTGTGAAGGAAACTGATTTTCACACTACACATGAATTCCTAAGGCTGGGGCCTCCTGGCTTGTCATTCTGGGACTCATCAACGGGTTTAACCACATGGATCTGTCTTCCTTTCAAATCTGCCAGCTTTTGTAACATGTTAGCTCTCATTGCGGACTTTATAGGACTCCTCCATTCCAGAAACATATGGAAACGCAGCAAAACACCAGGGAGAAGGAAGGCGTCCCCAAACATGTGTTTGTAGTTTTTTCGTTTTGAATTTTTGATTTTTTATGGCATTCATGTATTTATTTTGAGAGTCTCTAGCCCAGGACGGTCCCAAACATGCTGCATTGCTGAAGATGACCTTGAATTTGTGATTCTCCTGCCTCCACTTCCCAGGTCCTGAGATTACAGGAATGTGCCAGACCCTGGTTTATGCGGTGCTGGGAATGGGACCCTTGGCTTCCTGAGTGCTAGGCAAGGACTTTATCTAAAGAGCTGCATTGTTATCCCAGGTTTTGTCTCACTCTGTTGCCCGGTGTGGCCTCAGGATCTCAGTAATTCTCCTGCCTCAGTCACCGAAGATCTGGGATTGCAGACATGAGCCCCCTGGCTCTATGTTTTGGAAAGGGAAATCTTAAGCAGTCCTCATGCTAAAATCTCCACATCAGCCAGAGACTTCTGAGCTCAAGGCAGTGAGAGAGGAATCAGCACAGAAAATCCACCCAGTTCTTAAGTGCTCCGGGCTGAAAGTCTGTGTCACCTCCTGTCTGGGTCTTTGCTAGAACAAATCCATGACCAGGAAAGTTGACTACATTTTCTGTCTAAGACACTTGCCATGGAGGGGCTCCTGCTCCACAGGGGTCCAAGCACAGAGGGGACAAGTCCCAGCACAGAGTCTGACCGCTCTCTCTCTCTCATCACGCCTCCCTCTCCTGTAGGCCCCCTGGTCACTGAGGAAGAACTAGCAAAGAGCTTGAGCCAACTGGAACATTTGAAATGAAGCTGAAAAAGTGACAAATACAAAATTTTGCAAAACAAATCCCACAAACATGGGTGGAGGCATGCTGAATTGGGAAGACAGTCTGCCCTGTCATTACCCAGGCCCCTCCTAAGCTGTGAGAGTTGTAACTATGCTTTCAAGTTTCCCAGCCAGTAATGCAAACAGCACTGTATGAGAGCAGAAAATGCCTTGCCCTAAACATGTCTTACTCTTCCCCATGCAACAGGAAGCCCTGAAACACAGAGAATAAACAGGTCCAGGCAAGTGAGTCTGGGTAGACACATGCACACATTTTTTAAAATTTTTAAGTAAACTGTACTGTGCTTCATTCTGATTGTGAAGACCTTTGTAGAAGTTTCTAGCTATGAAAGGAACTTCGAATATAAAATGAAGATTGGGAAATTGAGAAAGTGTTGATCTAAAACTCAGTGGATCTGGGACAATCATAAATGTGTACTCCTGGAAGTAAACACAGAATGGAGGCTATGTGTGGTAGTTTGAATGTAATTGGCCCCCATAATCTCATAAGGAGTGGCATTATTAGGAGGTATGGCTTTGTTGGAGTGGGTATGGCCTTGTTGGAGGAAGCATGTCACTGTGGGGTAGGCTTTGAGGTTTCCTATGCTCAGGATACCGCCCAGTGTCTCAGTTGACTTCCTGTTGCCTGCAAGTTGTAAGACTCTCAGCTACTACTCCAGCACCATGTCTGCCTGCACACCACCATGCTCCCCACCATGATGATAATGGACTGACCTCTGAAACTGTAAACAAGCCACCCCAATTAAATGTTTTCATTTATAAGAGTTGCCGTGGTCATGGTGTCTCTTCACAGCAATAGAAACCCTAACTAAGACACTATGAAATCCCACATTGGTGGGTCAAGTGGGTTTCTTCCAATGTCTATGAGCCCAGGGGAGGAGTAACAGTTACATTTAGCTTTACAAGAGTGTTTTTAGATAGCTTGCTAAAGGTTAAGTGGATTGATTGGAAGAACCTGATGTTCACCTAACAGCCAACACCAACCTTTCCCAGTAGTCTTCCAACTCACAAAAGTTTTTTTTAGATTTATTTATACTATATTTTGTATGTATGAATGTTTTACCTGCATGTGCATCGTGTGCATGCTTGGCACCTGTAGAAGTCAGAAGAGGGCTTTGGTCCCCTGGATCTTAAGTTATTGACAGGTATGAACCACCACATGGTGAGATCCAGGTCCTCTGTAAGAGCAGCTAGTGCTCTTAGCCACTGAGCCATCTCTCCAGTCCCAATTTTCCAACATTTTAAATGTTCAGTTTCATGGTGGATTTTCAAAAGAATGAATAGGTATTTCAAATCCTAGCTGGGCACAGAGCATTGTGCAGGAGGCTGAGCTGGGTGATTACTTGCACCTGGGAGTTAAAAACTAACCTGAGCAAGATAGCAACTCAGTCTCAAGAAAGGAAACAAACAGAAAGGCCAGGACTAGCAGTTTATACTTGTAATCCCAGTACTTGGGGGAAGCTGAGGCAGAATGGTTGGCTTGGGGCCAACCTGTCTTATGGAGTAAGTTCCAGATGAGCCTGGGCTGCAGAGTGAGACCCTCTTTCAAAAAATAAGAGCCAGGTATGGTGTTGAATGCCTTTAATACCAGCATTCAGGAGGCATAGTCAGGCAGGCTAGCCCAGTCTACATAGAGAATTCCAGGCTAGCCAGGTGTGGTGATTTGAATGAGAATGGCCACCATATTTGAATGCTCAGTTACCAGGAAGTGGAACTGTTTGGGAAGGATTAGGAGGTGTGGCCTTGTTGGAGTAGGTATGGCCTTGTTGAGGAGATGTGTCATTGGAGGTGGGCTTTGAGGTTTAAAAGCCCATGCCAGTCTCAGTCTGTCTGTCTGTCTGTCTCTATCTCTCTCTGCCTGCAGATCAGGATATAAAGGTCTTAGTTACTGCTCCAGCACCATACCTGTCTGCTTCCCACCATGATGACCATGAATTAAACCTTCTTAGCTGTAAGCAAGCCCCCAACTAAATGCTTTCTTTTATAAGCTGCCTTGGTCGTGGTGTCTCTTCACAGCAATGAAAACCTAACTAAGACAGCAAGGTTACATGGTGAAATCCTATCTCAAAACAAAGAAAACAAACAAACAAAAACCTCAAAATCTTATACTATAAACATTTTACTACCATTTTATTTTATTTATGTAGCCCTGGCTGTCCTGGAACTCACTCTGTAGACCAAGCGGGTCTCGAACTCAGAGATCCACCTGCCTCTGCCTGGGATTAAAGGCGTCTCCATCACTGGCCCCCTTTGTTTGTATATAATGTTTATTATTAAAAGAACAATAAAACTACCTAGAGTGAGTGAGGGAGTTGATTTATCTATTTAGTATTTACTTACGTGCTGAAATTTGAACCCAGTGTGTATCATATAGTGCACACAAGCTGACATCTCCAGTGTTTTGTCCTGTTTATACCTTCCATGATAATTGGTGCCATCCCTCTTACACCCTCATAAGCATGTTCAGAAACACAAGCAAAGTTTGATGATAACCCAAGCTGTGCTTATTCTCAGACAAGGATGCACAAGATATTCAACTCAAAAATACAACCAATGTGCTCCTTGAAAAGGCATAAAGAAGCCGGGCGGTGGTGGCGCACGCCTTTAATCCCAGCACTCGGGAGGCAGAGCCAGGCGGATCTCTGTGAGTTCGAGGCCAGCCTGGTCTCCAAAGCGAGTTCCAGGAAAGGCGCAAAGCTACACAGAGAAACCCT